CTACATTGTAGAAACAGATGAAATTCAAAACCTGAAGTGTACGAAGTTGCTTACTCAACGGAATACTTACTCAACGGAAAGGTTAGTATCTTCAATTGCTTGATCTTGTGTTTGGGCGAGAATGATTTTAGCGTAGGCTGGCATATCAGGTGCTGGGGTGGCTTCTGCCAAGGCCTCTAACAGGCTGAACTTGGTAGACTTACCTCCGTTGTATTCTGCTGGCAAGTTGTCCTTACCAAACCATTCAGACAAGTTACCGTTACTCAAAACTTGGAACTTCTTCAAAGTTTCAGCGCTGATGATACCCATTTTCTTGAGGAATGAGAATACCCAGCCCATGAATACTGGAACATTGATGAAGAATTTGACAGATAATAATTCTGGGTAGTTGGCACCGAAAATACTGATAATCTGCTTTGTGGAAGCCTTGACGTTAGGGTCCATACGAAGCATAGAGACGTTGTTGTAGTCATGGACTTGGGCGATTTTGTTGTTCGATGGGTCGGTGAAGTTTGCGAACAGCAACGATTTTTCCATTATACCAATACGCCATCTCAAGAACTGTGTACCTTCCTTAGCACCCACCTTGGACTCACCTTCACCACCGTACTGCTGGAACACCTTCTTAGGATTTTTAAGTTTCCCATATAAGTTCCAAGTAACATACTTCATGTTGCTGTCACCATCTGGGTTTCCAGTAATGACTCCCAATTCATTCAATTCCTGATCAAATTCCTCTTCGTAAGCAGCTGAAAGAGGTTGGAACTTATTTCTCCAATTCAAGGTGTTCACTAATCTTGTCTTGGCAGTTTCAACGTCGTATTCGTCAGCTATCAAAAACTTCAACAAAATTTCGTTTCTAATAGAAACATCGACATGTTCATTTGTATCAACATTGATACAGTACCCAAAGATTTCATCGTATTTAGGGTTATCAGTTTTCTTTATGATTTCTGGAATGGCATCAATTAATTTCTCCAACTTATCTTTTTGATCAGCCGTGAGCTCGGTAGATTTGATAGTATCACCAACTGAACTAGCGTTTATTTTTTCACTTGAAGGTGCATTGTTTGGTTGTTCAACCACTGCTGTTTCCGACATGATGTTATTACTGTTTCTAAAGTCTTCAGAAAGAAAGAGGTCTTCTTGTTTACCTTATATAAAAAAAAATCTTCAGCCGGACTTCGGTTAAGAAAATATTGCCTGAAATTATCTATTACTCGTATCTATAGATTTACGTATATACAACTTAATTAACTTAATTATTGGTGGTACTTCCCGGAACAATCTTGAAACTCAAGATATCGTTCTTACCACTGTCTACTGTATCCTCTTCACCAATTCTTACACCACCAACACCTTCAATTGCAGCGATAGTAACATCTCCCATGATTTTTCTAGCCACCGATATCACCGGCGTGCCTTTTTTGACAAGCACACAATCTCTAAATACATATTCACCTGAACTACCAGTGAAATTATGGATGCTTCTAACTGGGAAGACAGGAATTAACCCTAACACATCAGCAGCTGCTTGTAATAATTGCACAACACCAGTGGAGCCGAATCTGTAGAGCACCAAGTCCCGGATGTTTTCGATTCTGTTACGCAATTTATCATCCAAGGGCTTCAACTTTGATTCGGGGCCCAAGTCATCGATTGTATCAACAAACTCAGTCCCCAGATCGTACTTAATATATTGTTGATTGGCCAATTTACGTAAAAATACCTCAGTGATCGAAGATGTTAATACGGATTTTAACTCTGGGTACTTTAAAATGATTTTGGACACATTCTTATCCGAATCTGGGTGGTCCATCTTGTTGAGCGACAACACCGTTGGAAACTTCACTTGCATGAACGACCTGACCACCTTCTCGATGGTTTCATTATCCCAGTCTTGTAACGGAGCCAACCCCGGCAAAAGATCAAGTGCTTTACCAATCAACTGCTTATTTGCCGAATAACCACCCAACTGCTGTCTCAAGGTCTCCAACGTCGTGGATTTCGTGGCTGTGTGTCTTCTGACCACCGAACCCCATCTCTCCATAAGGTTCCCGAGAATCCACTTGAAGATCTCGTCCTGTAACCATTCTATATCGTGCAAAGGGTCGTATCCTCTCGTGGCCTTTCCCTCTGCATTAGTGGTTCCACTCACGTCCACAATATGGATCAAACAATCCGCTTCGGTCAAATCTCCCAAAAATTTGTTTCCTAATCCTTTCCCAAGATGAGCATTGGGAACCAACCCTGCCACATCCAACAACATGATTGGAACACCCCTTTTACCATCTCGACAATATCCATAGTTAGGCTTGCATACCGCCTGTTTACCGAACCTTGCACATGCACAATCTACCTCTAGATAACCTGTGGCCTTATTTGGGTCTATGGTAGTAAATGGAAAAGCTCCAACTTTTGCATTAGCGTCTGTCAACGAATTTAACGTAGTAGATTTTCCAGCCGAAGGCTTTCCTACAAGAGCAATAACTGTTTCTCGTCCCATCTATCTGTCTCTATCAATAATATACCATAAATATCTTGTAATAAAAAGATTTTAACTACTACTACATCATCAGAGGTTTTTGTGCAATTTTATTACTAGGCCCTTTATGGTACGTTTTCTTTCCGTATATTAGTTAACAAACAACAATTCCAGTATTTATAAAAGCAGTTAGGATATCATATATATTAAACTGATACAATGGCATTGAATATATCATCAGTGTTTAGCAATTTGTTTGCAGGGTTTTCAAGCGATTTTAAGAAGAAGAACTTCTCCCTATACGGGCAGTGGATCGGGTTACTTACGATATTTTTATGTATAGCATTGGGAATTGCTAACATTTTCCATGCTTCGGTGGTAATTGTGTTTTCAATTATATGTATTGTGCAAGGGTTGGTGGTTGTGTTTGTCGAAATTCCATTCTTGTTGAAGATTTGCCCCTTAACGGACAAATTTACCAGCTTTATCAGAAACTTCGATGAGAATTGGCCTAGATGTGGATTCTACGTGTTGATGGGGGCCATACAATGGCTTTCGTTGACGGTCCAGGTCACCAGTTTAATTGTGGTTGCTGTGTTCTTTACGTTGGCCGGTATCTGTTATGCGTTGGCTGCATTTATGCACCAGGAGTACTTGAAGACGTCGTTTAATGTTGCTGGAGAACCGGACTCGCTCGAGGGTCAGGTTGGAGACCATATTGTCAGAAATGTGTTGTAAGCCAGCTAGATCTAGTTCAATTGCTTGTTCCGGCCATTCAAGCAGGCTTATTGCACTTTTCTAAAATACAACTCCTATTTTTTTTTGTACATGTCCAATAGTATAAGTTAATGAATGCCCAGTCCTTCACGGATTGATGTATTTGCTTAAAGTAATGATTGTAGACGGGTATATCTTGTAAATCTTATCGTATAGCAGTATGCTAGATTTTGTGTATTTTTTTTTTCTCTATTATTTTCTTGGTGGATGAATATCAAAAACTTTAGATAGAAGATATACCTCCCAGATATTCACGCTATAGAGAGAAAATATGTCAAAGATACTACCGTTTATCGAGGATACACAACCGCTGGTAAGAGAGCACGAGAAATCGGCTACTCCAAGCATGACGTCGATACTTAATGAAAACATCTCATCGCAAAATCCATCAGCAGCAGAAACGAAGGAAAATACGCCAAGTAACAATAATAGTGGACATAATAGAAAGGAAGGGGTGACATCTCTTTCATTTGACCAGGTTAATGATAATGCTGACGAATTAATAGAACTCCGTGGTGAAGGAAGATATTTTGGGGTCACCGATCCAAGTTCTGGTACAACCATCAATTCGTTACAGAGCATGGGCCCATTATGTGCAAATTGCCATAAAAGAGGCCACATAAGGGCTAAATGTAAGACAGTTGTGTGCCATAAATGTGGGGTTGTGGGCGATCATTATGAAACTCAGTGTCCAACTACAATGGTATGCTCGAGATGCGGATTAAAGGGCCATATTGCCATCAAGTGTAAGAATAAGCTCAAAAAAAGACAGTATTGTAAACATTGTGATACGTTCAACCATGGAGATGATATGTGTCCTAGCATCTGGAGGTCATATTTAACATTACCCACGCCTAAAAGTGACGATGAGAACGACAAATACGAAAGCACAGTATTGCCCGTGGTATACTGTTATAATTGTGGCGACGATGAACATTATGGGGATGAATGCCCAGAACCTAGGACTTCAAGGATACCGTGTGTAAATGGCAGTGCCTTTAGTGGAACTAATTTGCCCAGACATTTAAGATCGCTTTATTTCGATCGCATGAACTCCACTAAACTGAACACCCAGAAGAAACTACAAAACGCTAAACCCACCTACACCACCAACTACGCCAACAGCAGCAACAATAGTAATTATGGAAACAAGGGCAGCTATAATAATGGTTCATATAGGAATAATTTCACCAATTATAACGATTACAACTACAATTCAAATTCAAATTTCAACAGACAGCCTATAGATAACAACTTCAACGGCTATTACAACAACAACTATAACCATAGCAATAACACCAATACCCATATACATTTCAAACCAAATTCTAGACACCCTGCCAAGTCGGACAAGCCTAATCCGTCCAGATCAGGGTTTATACCCAATTCAAATTCAAAGAAAAACAACAAAAAACCTACGAGATCAGGTTTTATAGACAAAAATAAAAATAAGGACAATAAACCGAACTCGCTGCATAAGCCCACAAGATCAGGATTAATAGAAAGTAGCGGGAATAGGGCCAAGAAGCAAAGTGTAAAGAATATAAAGAATTTGTATTAGTGTATATAGTTCGCAATATAAAAATATCTAACCGATCTCGGATCAAGGCAGTAATAGCCTTCTTTATTGGTACCTGAATAGATCAAGTAAATAATATTGTTAGTTTTATTGTTCAACTGATTCTTTTTTACGTTAATTGTATTTTGCGGTTTATGAAAAATCTCCTACTGGGTTAAAATGGATCGATTTGAGTCGCTAATCAATCTTTTTGATTATTTTCATTATCCTACACAGAAATCAAAGGAGTATAGTAAATACCGACAAGAATTAACTAATAAGTATGGGAATATAACAACAGTGATTCTTGTGGTCTTCTTGATTGCAATTCCGATCCTGAAGCTTTTGACTGTTAAAGGATATACTTTTTCGAAGATCAAAGTCTTCAAGAAGACTAATCTGGGGTTAAACAAGTGGATTGAACGAGATGAAGATGAAAGCTACAGATTGAATAAATTAAAGAGATTTATAGCCCGTAAGTTGAAGGGATTGATATATAAAATATACTACCACGCTACAGCTATTTTATTAATTGTGTTCTGGGGATCATTATTAGCACTTCTTTCGTTAAACGAATCCAATAAAGGTGATTTGATTGTTCTTGCTAAAAGATTGGGAAAGATCATTACTGTTACGTTGCCGACTATATTCTTTTTAACGCTTCGCCCTTCTCCATTACCGAATACCTTGTATTTGGCGTTATTGCCAATTCACAAGTGGTTATCCAGATTAATCATTGTACAAGGAGTTTTGCATACGGTAATTTATTGTGGATACTTTCAAGTTAAAAACTCATGGAAAAAGGCCCTTAAGTATGAGAATTTGTATGGATGGGGTGCCCTCTGTGGATTTTTAATTATTATGGTGACATCGTTTCTGAAATTTAGGACCAAATATTATCGGTTCTTTTTCTTCCAGCATTATGTCTGGTCATGGATCATAGTGATATGTATACAGTATCACGCAAGGCCTGTCAAGGCCACTCCTTATACTGTTGCTAACATTTGTATATTGGTAGGCCAAATCATCTATAGATTAATGCTTACAGATGTGACTATAAATGATACCGACATGAAGGTAACCAATATGTCTTCAAACTTGGCGTTAGTTGAATTTCCTAACCATTTGATCAAGTGTAAATCGATAAGTCCAGGTGCACATATTAGATTGGCTGAACATGGATCTTCCTGGATTGTGAGAGCCTATAGACAAATTATTCCAAACTATCATCCATACACATTAGTATCATTACCTCTGGATAATTACCAAAAGTTGATAGTGCGTAGGGGTAACTTCAAAATCCAAAACAGACACAAATACTTGATTTGTGGTTCCTATGATCCTAATTTGTTGTTTTTAAGTTCAAAAAATACAGCTAAAGGTAGTTTCAGTATATCTAAATTGAGAGTTAGTGCTAAGAGAATATTGATTATAGTAGGAGGCTCAGCTATATCGTTTGCATTACCCATTTTGAGAGTTATGAATTATCATGGTGTGCCAATTAAGATTGTATGGGTCATCAAAGATTTTAGAGATATCACTATTTTAAAGCATTTTGATGGGTTCATTCACGAAGATGATTTTGAAATCTTTGTCACAGGGAGCTCGGATATAGGTGAAGACTCAATCATGAAGAGATATGATTCTATAAATGATATGTCAAGTTATGGAACTTCGAATACGAGTCATTTGTATGATCTTGAAAGTGAGAATCTGCCATTACTAGGAGAGGAAAGCAAACATGATGGCTTTACGGGAGGCGAAAACGAAGATGTTGAAATCTCCATTGATAATGAAGAAGACGAAGACGACGATGAATGTGCCGTAGATCTTACAATGAGAGAACATTTCCTAGATACCATTCCTAATGGTGATAACGATAGCAATAACGAAGAAATAGAATATTTTATGGACGGAGAATACGAAAGCCAAGATCAAAGTCTCCTCTTACCTTCTAGTGGAAGCAAACCAAACGTCACCAGAAAGAATAGCATACAGCGCTCACGCAAGCCAAGTATCTCCCTCTCGAGAAAGACAAGTGTATCCACAACGAATGAAATATTTTTCCCTTCGTTAAACTCAAATGCAACAGAAGCTGCAAAAAATTATTTACAACAATTCAAAGATACGGTGAAGAGGTTGAAAATTGAGCATAGAATATATAAGGGCAGACCTCGGATTAACTACAAATATTACAATTGGTGCATAAATGAAGGATTCACACAATGCTCGGGCCCTGTAGATGATGGATCACACAACTTCGTATGTTGTCGTGATTTGATCAAGGACAAAGGCAACAAGGTTGATTCGAATAAAGTTTGGGTCATTACGGCAGGACCTGCGGGTTTGGTTAAAAACGTTAAGTTATGGGCTAATGAAAATGGATTGAATTTCCACGAAGAATCGTTTTATGTTTAGATAAGTGTATTATTCATAGGTAGTTAATTTATTTATTTTATGTTCATAAGTCGTTGTAAATTCGTTGGTTAAATGCGTAATTCGGGCTCTATTTCTTTTTGATATTCATTTCGTCCTCCAAATACATACTGCGTTTGATTTCCTCCTCCATTGCAAGCTGCTTTCTCATTTTGACCTTTTCTGTTTCGACAGCAAACGAAATGCAAATAAAATTCCAACTCACAAGGTATGCGATTTTATAAGGAGTGTTGAAAAATTTAGCATTATGTCCAAAATTATACCTATAGTTTAAGTAAAAACCACTGATTAAACCAATCAAGGAACCTTTGAGCAGACCAGTTAAACCGGCACCCCATAATTGAGATGTTAATTCATCAATTCTCTTTTGTTTCTCTGGAGTCATAGTGTAAAAGAGATAAAATGAATTATCGCAACTCTCACTTGTGTGCGACCAATCTATATATACAGTGATATATACGGTGAGAGTGATTTTTTGCAAAAAGACGGTTAAGTGATATTACAAGGATGATTCATAATGAAAAAGCATATAAATTAAAGCTATTAATTTGGAACTAAATATTGGATACCTCCTAAGTTTATTGATCTCAAGGAAGGTATATGTATCTTAAATAATTTGATTAAATTCAATAAACAAGAATGCAAAAACAAATTCTTAAATTGATCTAAATCACGATTGATGAGTAATGGTCTGTCGTTAGAATTCAAAATTGAATTGATGGAGTATAAGTTCTGGTTTAAATAAATAAACTGTTGCTTTAACTTACGGACGATGTAGTTCAAGAATTTCAAATTGGACTCACTGGTGGTATCAATTTGAATGCTTGAGGAGTCCGCGGACGAGTTCGTGAAGTTGTCAAAGTCATGCTGGAAGTGGTTCTTAGAGTCAAGGGTCGAAAGCTTATTAAATGTAAGTCTGGTGTCATTACAGACCTTACAGTCACATTGATTGACCAACAAGTCGAAGAAGTTTGTCCTCTTATTGAACAAGCGAGGCAAGTTGACTACCCAGTCGTTAAAAAAATCTGGGATGACTATCTTTGCTAGGTTAGGCAACCTGGACAAATTCTTGAAGAATTTATTGTAGTTTAAGGACGATTTATTATCCAATGTTAATTTCGTCAAGTCGTTAATATTCAAGTAGATTTCTCTCAAATTGGAGATCATCGAGCAGAATAACTCGTTTTCAATCAACTTGTTGAACTGCAATAAATTGTCGGTGTGTGGGTTTGACTTGAAGTTGATCAAGACTAATTTTGTCAACGCCAACGGATCCCTGCAGCTCGAGAACCAGTCTCTAAAAAATTGCACCATGCATTCGTTGGGGCAATAGTGGTTGGTGCAGTTAATTTTCAATTCGAGTTCCTCCAAGTCCTGGAAGTTAACCAATTGACTCACTTCTCTGAAGGTCAATAACGAGTCGGCCTTAAATGTGTGCGAGCTCGAGAGCGAAAGCTTGCGCAAGTTCAACTTGACCTTCCCCAGGAACGTCTTGATGAACACCGAAGTCGACTTGGGCAGATTCAAGTATAACGCCTTCAAGTTCTCCATGTTCCTCAACACATTGCGGTTTAATTTTTCAATGGGGTCAAGGAGAAACAGTTGCTCGATAAAGAGATTGAGATGACGCAAGCTCGGATTGTACGGCAAACTGATGAACTCGTTAATGTCGAACGCAATCCAGTTGGTCAAGTTATTCAAAATCGTATCCTGGACGTCGACCTCAAAGCTCTGTTCGTCCTCATTCTCCGAGTATTGAATCGACTCTTGACTGATGTAATTGTTGAACGATTGGTACTTCCGCAAATTATTTATGTCCAAGTTCACAAAGTAAATCGGATGCTTTACCTTTTCCCACTGACGGATAAAACTGTCGTACAACTCCTTATAGTTGTATTCAATCAAGTTAGACTGAGTATGGATCACCACCCTTTCTATAAGCTGAAAATTCTCTTTTGTCAATTCTCGGGCGAAAGATCCCACATTTCTAACATCTAGCAAGCTATACTGATCATTATTTCCTTCAGAGTCCAAGATCATAATTCTCTTGTATAGCATCTGATTCACCTTACTGTGGAACACCCTGTTCGTTCTTCCAAGTGACACAAGATCACTTTGGTTCAAGTACCCTATTATATCATCAAGTACATTATATGGCAAATCCAACACATGCATTCTTAATTCTATAATAATCTATTATCTCTATTAAATTAAGTTTCACTTACCACTAAATTATGTGAAAAATTTCTGACTATTGAATATATAATATAAATACTAAAGTAACTTCTATAAGATTCTAGGCGAATCGATCATTTATATACGGTTTATATATCAAGCGATGGGGACGTTCGTAATCATACTTTTTATTGCGCACGGAAAAATCGCCCTACGTGAAAAAAGGCGAAATGGAACCAAATTGTGGAGTCAGTCAGGACAGGCGGAAATGCCACGAAAATGAGCCCAATTGGGTAATTTGGGGCCATCGAGACATATAGGGGACCAAAGGAACAGTCAGGCGAACACCAGGGTATCAACAGTGGCATATGAAGGGAATATACGACAGATGGTGATGATTGTGAAAAATGATGCCAAGAGACCACCGGAGATAGATCCGAGAGATCGAATCATGGAAACAGAGTGCACTTAGGGTGGACTAGTTATTGAGCCACCTGTCGGAGGCGTTTAGAGACCCTTCGGGCCCATTTCCAAAGCGTAGGAAGTTAATATGGTCGACGGGAGGGAACACATTGACTTTTGAGAGGGACACCACTCGGAGCCTCGGAAAAAGCTTTCCCTTGAGTAGATTTTGGTCGATGAGCGAAATCAAGATGTTTTCGATGGTGAGGTCGTCGGGGGCATGCGAGACAAATGTATGCATTGAGTAGGGGAGTGACGTTAGGGGAGTACCATCAGGGAGCGACACCGAGGCCGAGAGGCCCAATTTGATCGAGTCGTAGTCTAGCTTGGGAACTTTTCCTGAGAGCACCCAGAGACGCTTGATGAGGTTGCGAACAACGAGTAACACGCATTTTGACGAAAGCAACACGAGAAGATCGGTGTCCTTGAGGTACGAGTAGACAGACGGGCTGGTGATGGCGTTATAGAAACGGGCGTAGTTCCCCAGTGACACGGCGTGCGAAAGGTCCAGGTAGATTAAAAAAAACGACGGGGTGGCGCTGGGTGACGAATAGTACATTTGCTGGAGGAAATTGAAGTTCGGACGTTTGCCGATGGCGATGCTGATGGGTATGAGGTATTGGAGGATCCGCGTGATGTTGGACGAATCAGCTACCACTGGACATCGTTGAAGACACCAGAGGAGGTGAGTGTATGCGTCGACCAATTGATTTTTCAAGAAGTAGAACCGACCCAAGTAGAAACGGTATTGTATCTGTTCGTTCATGTCGTATTTACCCATGGCAAGGTTGGCGTTATTCATATTGCTGAAGATGTTGCGACATAGCAACGGATTCGATAATTTGAAGTACGTCTGGCAGAGTTTGATTCCAATGTATAGAATAATCGAGCTCTTGGACGAGACTTTTATGGTGGTGTCACTCACATCTCCTGAGAGTTGCGATCTGATGTTGTTGAAGATTTTCAATAAGATCGATGCCAAATATGCCAAGCGGGGCTTCATGCAATTTTCTTTGTAGTACAACTGATAGTCTAACTTAGTGGCTATTGGAATCACAAATCGTATTGTGTCCTTGACTAAGTATGTAATTAGATATCCTCTGTTGGCGTTATTGAATGCTACAGACAAATCATTTATGTAATTGGTGTAAAGGTCAAACGATTCCAAACTGGACCAAGGATTCAATTGGTTGCTCAATCTGATAAATGATATAACTACTTCATTAAATGCTAACCATTCATCTTTGTAGAAGTGTTTACCATCGATTAGATCATTTAAATATTTATCCTGTAGAAACGGTAAATTGTTGATTCTGACAATGTAGGGATTGATAGCTGGATTTATATTGAGTAAATTTGATAATCGTATTAGTTGTTCATTTACCGGGGAGTTAGAACATTGAAATATCTCATTCAAGTACGTATCTAACACCTCCATTTTACTTTGATATACTAGTAATGAAAAATTGTTGATATTTTTATTTCAAAAATCTGTTTCTCACAAAATGAATCATTTTATTTCTTTCTTCCTTTGAGCAAACTGACATTATTACTACGAGTAAATGAGTTCTATCAACGGCAATTCGAGGACTCCTACGCCGAAGGTTGGTGGCAAATCAACCTACATAAATTTAAAGCTAACGGTAAGGCTCTTACCTCCAACTTTAACCAAAGATCAGTTCATAGAGCAGTTAAATAACTATACTGCTTCGTTAAAGGACGGGTCAATAATCGATGACTATTATGTCCAGGGATGCTATCCTACCAAGCCATATGAAAAGCCTACATATTCGAGAGCGTACTTGCTTTTCAAGAACCAAACGTCGCTTGACCAATTCATGAAGGAGATTAATGGGAAGTCGTTCATCGAACTGGAGACAAACGACTCATTGATACCGGCTATTGGAAAGTCATTATACAACAAGATGCCAATAGAGAGGCTACATAATACGGCTACACCATCGAAGAAATTTGAAGATGATGAGTTTTACAAGGAATTTTTGTCTCAATTAGAAGCCAACAAAAGTGAATCCTTTGATATTGTATCTATAAATAAGAAATTGAAAAAGAGAAATAAGGACAAGAAGAAGAAGGAAAAGGACCCTAAAAAGAAAGAGGATAAAAAGGGCAAAGCGAAAGAAGAGAAAAAGCCCGTAAAGCCTAAAACTGGGAAAGCACCCGATAAGACAGGCGAAAGTACGAAGGCTCCTCCTAAAGCTAAAAAGAGAAATAGAAATAAGAAGACAGAGGGGGAAAATACAAGCGACAACCAGAAGCAGAAACAACCTATTGATGCTAAAGAGTCTTCTGATGAACCAGCCAGGCAACCGCCTAAACCGAAGAATAAACCGCACGAATCTTCCAAGGGGAAACAAGATCCAAAGGGCAAACCGAAGCAGGATTCGAAACAAAAACCAAAACTGGCTCAAGATACCAAACAAAAATCCAACCAGGACTCATCTACTAGTAACGACAATACTCCCAAAAAGCCTAAGATGAAAATAAAACAGAAACCCAAGGGACAGAATCCAAAACCAAATACAGAGCCAGCGAAAACGCATAATGATCCCGAATGAGATTGAATATGCACTAATATATTTGTACCCATAGCATAGTCTTCCGTGCTGGATATCATAACTGGGAGATATTTTCTAAATTATCTCTCTATTACGGCTTTTTGACACATACCAACTAAGAGTATATTATGAATGTCAATAGTATAATAAGATCTTGGCTGTTTTTGATTCAAGTCATATTGGCCACACTAGTTATATCGGGTGCAAATATACTTGGTTACCATTTCTGCGAAACCAAATTAAAGACGTAGATTTATGTATTATAGATATATATGAATATAATAGAATACTTCTTGTCAGCATACTGATACAGAGCTAGCATATTTCCTTATCTTACGTAGTATGAATGCTGGAGTACCATTGTTTAACTGATAGCTAAGGAATCTTCCGTGCGAAAAATTCAATTTTTCAATTTATACCAATGACTATACTGGCTCTTTACAGCAAACCAAAGTATTAATTACATGAATCGGGTTTTAGTGACTCTCCTGAAGAGGGTGAAGCCACTTAAGTTACAGAATGTCAGATTCAGTAGCAAATTTTCGAATGGAATAAATGGAGTCAATGTAAAGCAAGAAGATTCAATCAGTCATAGAGCTAAGGAATCAGACACAATTGACTTATCTAGAACATTCGATGCACTTGACTCGTCTTCAATGAAGACTATGGAAAAGATATTGGACATTTTGCATGATGCTGAAGAACAGTCAGATTCTAAGAAAACAAATACCTTGGTGCATAGCATTGAGACACTTGAAGATACGAAATACTTGAATGAGTTCACCACGAGATTCGGTGAGGAAATATTTGAGTACAAAGTAATACGGTATCTTAACGATACAGAGATAATAGGTAATGATCCAACCATATGGGGTGCTATACCAGATGCATATAACAATTACATTCAGGAATTCACTAATGAATATTTACAGATGAATAATTCATTCTTTAAAAGTAACGAAATAACATTCAATGGAAACTTGAATCACTTTCAATCAATTGCAAAGTATTTTATGGAGAACGATTCTCGGTGTCTTCAAAGAATGTCTAGAGAAATTGAGATACTAGCCAAATATCAACGTACGGAGACATTTACTAAGAAGAAATACAACTTTCCAAAACTTTCATTGCCCCCACCTTACCCGTATGACTCAGAAAATCCATTGGTGATAATGAAGGCGTTGTCCACTAAGAAGGAATTAAATTTGCTTCCGTTTATTGTGAATGACCCCGATGTTATCGAGAATTTAATCATTAAAAATCAAGTTGTAAATAATAATGAGGTGACACCTGTTGAGATGATTCTGAGCTTAATGAAAGCACAGGAACTCGAAGGTTCTAAGCTATTTACAATAATGGTAAAAAAATGCTTATATTCGACTAATCAACTTAATAATCAAAAGCTAATTGATGCATTACTAAATAATGAATCTATAAAATCAATAATAGCATCAGAAAGCAAAATACCGTCGAGACTATTCAGTTATAATAATTATAAGCTAGCGTTATCAAGAAGTAGCGTTATTAATATTGATGACGATTTGAAGATCCTTGAGCTTCTTAAATCCCAATTCAACAGATTCTTCGGCCTATTCTATAGGATAAGCGCTTTTGAAGCAGAGAAATGGATGTCGAAATTGGTTGAATTTTATGTGCAAGGTTCTTCAATAGACACTACAAAATTGTCGAATGATTCCATAGAATATTTCAAGCAATTTATGTCTAGTGTTGAAATGGATACGAGTAAATCCAAATGGACAAAGAAATGGCAAATAAAGCAATAAATGCATCATGATATATTTCTCATAACTTTATATACATAATAATTTACATAATAGTAATCAGTATTTCTCATTCCACATAATACCATGGTGTCTACTTGGAATGATTTCATTTAAATCTCCAGTTCCAAAGTTTTCGAGTGCAAAATCGCCTTCCCCAACGTTCATGAAATTAACAACACCGCTTTGAACTAATGCAAGAATTACGGACCTACCAGAGGCTCCATATTTAAGCTTATTATCTCTAAGTCTAAAATATGCATTTCGAGCTTGAATCTTTGGGTCTAATTTTAATTGTCTCTCCTTCTGTCTTTGAAACTTAATTTCTCTTTTAGTTGGCGCTTGAGGCTTTTTCGGTTTCTTTATAGACTTGGTCGGTACATCAGGAGTATCCTCAGAAGGAAACTTGTAATTAATTTGATTGAATAATCCATGTATTTCGTTCAAATCTGGAAATTTAGTTTTGTCAGTGTTGACTACACATATGTGAAAATCTGGATTTGGTGGATTCTTTTTAGAAAAGTTTGGAGTTGGTTTCCATACGTTGAAATCAACAACGTAATTAGAATTCTTTTCTGTAGCTGTCTTTAGACTATCAAGAGAAGAATAGGAAGGTATAAGTTTCAACGTTTGGAATATGGATGTGTAGTTAAAATAATGCTTAGTCTTGAAATGCAAATCATGGAAAGAGCCGAATGCAAATATTCCCAATTTTTGAAGCTGACCATGAAATGTTGTAAATAATGGCCCTGAAAATAAATGCCTAATAGCTGATGTAGTGGATCTTAATATCAGTGATAAGAAAGTCGTATGAGCTTGCAATTGTTTGTATTTGGAGTACTGATCTTCGTCATCAAGCCTTCTAAAGCTTTGTATCAAATATCCGTGACGTTTTAAATATGCATATACAATATACGAATCCATGAGCTTGCTGTCACCATCGAATGCTAAAGTGTAAATATGACTGAGTGACAATGGCATTAAGTTTTCATCGTAGTCAAAATGCGTTTCATTAGGATCATTCAAAAACGTTTCAAATGTATCATCACCTAAATAGATAGCCATCGACCCTCTTTCCAGGAGATATACCACCTCTAATGGTTCCAACCATAATCCTTGAATTTTCTTCCCAAAATTTGCTGTTTTGCCAATATCTTTAAAGAAACCTCCTTTGGCATGCGGTACTAAAGCTCTCTTTTCATTCGGCATCCATACTGATATCAACTTCTGTTTCAGATGATGTCCTCTAGGATAGCTCAATGCCTGATACATAGCATTTCGTGAATCATCTAACAACGAATTTTGTACTGAGGTTCCATCTGGTTCAAAATCTTTTTCACCTCTTTTAGGTATAACTTCTGAATTTTTAGTTAACTTATTTAGAGCTTTCCAATCCTGAATGTCATCTTCTATGTCATAGGCACCGTCATCTCTTGTTATCTGAGCTTCGTCTTGCTCTTCAGTGGACATTTTGTAAGAAAACTAGCAGAATTAGCAGTCGAAATACATCGAAATTTTTTTTTCTCATAATCTGCGTATTTCGATCCATATTAGATCAAGTTCTTTACTGAAGATTTGCATCATCAGGTTAATCGAAACCAATAATCAAATGACAGAAAAACCAGTGACATACCAGTCTCTAGTATGTGTTATTAATTTACCAATGAATATAGTTGGCATATGTTTCATACATGGTATTAACGTTTAAAGGCCGAATCACTCTTGCAGGACATGCTTGATAATATCTTAAGACAACAAACGCTAGCAAGCGTATCACGATATCGATCGCTCAAAAGTACGTTGGGAGAGAACGAAAAGGAGAGTGTATTTATAGACGATACCATGTCGTCGTCCAAGGATATTTATGGCCAGGATAAACAGAAGTTGAAGGTGTCTGAAACATCAAAGTACTTCCAGTGTGAAAATTGCGGAAGAAGCATTGCTGGTGGAAGATTTGCCCAACATATGACCAAATGTCTTGAAAGAAGACGCAAATAGAACCAAGGATGAAATTCTCTGAGAAGAGTATAGCATTCATAGCATATACGAGTCAGGCCAGTGGCCATCACTTACGAAACAAAAATAGCATTACATATATTACACATGAAATAACTTACATTTAATTATCGGTTCATGTAGTTGGAGCCTGGGCCATAATACCAGACCGTCCCATCATCTACTTCTACACAAGTTCTGGAGCCTGGGACATAACACCAACATCAGACAGTCCCATCATCTATATTACGTCTACACACGGTCTGATTTACTGCAGAATTTGGTAATATACTGCATAATTAACATTTGGATTCTCCAATACTAAACGAGATTGACACCAACGGTCTAATATGTGTTCCTGCCATACTTCCAATAATATTTTGCCAGAATCTCCATCATTTGCTTTTACTCGTGGTATTCGGATAAGTTTTCACTCATCTACTCTGCGCCAACGGAAATGCATGGAATGTGTAATGGACATATCCACGGAAGCTTTACCCTCATCTCTATGAATGTTGTAGCGCGGTATATCCATGGATAACAAATACTACATATATGCTACCTTCAATCAAATCTATTGGCGCATGCGACTTTAGTTGCACAAATTTTATTTCACTATCTGTATATTTGTCTAATAAACATCGGCTACTACGTCATCTTCATACTAGGTTAGCTATCGTCGGATCTTACGAATAGTGTAGACATCGGAATGGTATACCTATTGACGTTATGGTGGCTACACGAAATGAGGAAAGTTCTTTATGCGGGGACATGTGGGGGATATTAACTATACATTAAAGGCTAAATGGAAAGCTTCCTACCGAAGAAGACGCTTATGGATATAAATACTATCTGAAATACCATCTAATTATTCACATAGTTAATCCAGGTATATTCATTGGAAAGAGTGAAACTAAAACAATGAATTTGGCAGAGGATTTCACGCACAGTTTATATGGACCTAATGATAGGGCCAATGTTGAATGTCTTATTAGTACATTACCATTAGAGTCCAGTAAAACTATCAATTCAGTTGCTATTGATTCGGTTCAGAAACCATATTCGCCGACTTACAGAAATCAAGGAATTACTGACAGGCTTGTATCCAATATACATCCGCAGTTGAATACATACAATAAGTTGTTCAATAATTCTGTTAAATTGTTCAGAGATAGGGCATGCCTCGGAAGTAGGCCATATAATTATGAAGTTGGGGAATCAGAGAAGCATTTCAGAAGTTATTCGTATGAAGAAGTGGATGAGAGACGGAAGAACTTGGGATCGGGGATTCTCCATATTTTACAGGGAAGTGAATTCAAAACGAATTCACTGGAACATAAGAAAATAGATAACCATTTCCGTGACTGGGAAAAGTACGGCCGTGTTATAGGAGATAGAGAGAGCAATTGTTCGTTTATTGTGTCAATTTTTTCCGCCAATAGGTTGGAATGGGTTTTGGCAGATTTGGCTTGTTCGGCGTATTCTTTAACCAATACGGCATTATATGATACACTCGGGACGGAAGCAACGAAATATATATTAGAGTTGACGAAGAGTCCAGTGGTCATTAGCTCACGGGATAAAATAAAGGTTATCATTGACTTGAAAAGGAAATTTCCTGGTCAGTTGCGAGAACTTATAACCATAGTTTCTATGGACCCGTTGTTTCATTTATCTGAAAACTCAAGATTTCAAGCTGACGATAAATCATTAGTTTCTTTGGCCAGGGATTCTGGAATTTCTCTTTTCGATATAGATTACGTCGAAAAAATCGGTAACTCATTTAGAGTAGACGAGTTACCACCAACGCCAGAAACCATGTACACCATATCTTTTACTTCAGGTACGACTGGATCTAAACCGAAGGGTGTAATATTAACTCAAGAAAATGCTGCCACAGCTATAACTTTCTTGACCAGTACAATGCCTCAGATTGACCATGGTAAAGCGTTTATATTTTTACCATTGACCCATATCTACGAGAGAAAGACTACTGGATTTGCATTGTCTACTGGATATTACTTAGGATTCCCCCAGTTAAATGTTGCTCCATCCGCAACGCCTCCAAATCTGTTTGACAACCTCATGGAAGATCTAACAATTTTTAAACCCCATTATTTATCACTAGTTCCTAGGGTTTTGACCAAGATTGAATCCTTAACGAAATCTGCTATTGCAAACTCCAAAGAGACTTCGGCCAAACTTAATGAAATTGTCAACTACAAATTAAAGAAGCACACAGAGGCAGATGGAAGTACGGGGGCTCGTGAAGACTATGATAATTATGCACCTTACAAGGCCCTTCGTAAAAAGTTTGGGTTCGACAACTTGATATGGACTCAAACCGCATCTGCGCCAATTTCTCCCTTAACACTCATTTACTTGAAAGCCGGCTTAGGTATCGGGTTAAGGCAGTTATATGGGTTGACTGAATCGTTCGGAGCCGTATCGCTGAGTGATGCGTACGAGGCAAAACCAGGCTCGTGTGGAAGTATTGGGATTGGGTGCGAAATGAAGGTGCAAGAAGTCCCTGCAATGGGATACTACGCCGAAGACAATAAAGGCGAGTTATTATTGAGAGGGCCCCAGATCTTCAAAGGCTATTACCGTGATCCCGAAGAAACTGAGAAAGCCCTAGACAAAGACGGCTGGTTCCATACCGGTGACATTGGAATGATAAACCCCGACACCGGCAGACTCTACATCATAGACAGAGTCAAGAATTTCTTCAAATTGGCCCAGGGCGAGTACATATCTCCCGAAAAGATTGAAAACGTCTATTTATCTTCCAACCCAATTCTTGCCCAACTATACGTCCATGGTGATTCGCTCCAGTCGTATTTAGTAGGAATTGTGGGCATAGAACACGCTGCTGGAGTGAAGTTTCTACAAAATGTTTGTGCATACCAAGATGAATTATCACCCGAACAGCTAATTACCGAAATTAACAAGCCACAGAACAAAAAGAAGTTTTTGGAAAGTATTAACTCTACTTTGAAGGGTAAGCTTTTAGGATTTGAGAGACTTCATAATATTGATATTGATATCAATCCTTTGACCGTGGAAAAAAATGTAGTAACTCCAACATTAAAGATCAAAAGAGGCATTGCTGCCAACTACTTCCAACGTGTCTTTAAGAGGTTATACGATGAAGGTTCATTAATGAATGCAAAATCGAAGCTATAGTAGTAGTATGACGCAGAATATTACACAAAATTACGTAATCCTCAACGACCTAGTCGTTCCAAAATTGTAGATGATCATTGATAGATTATTGTAGCATCTATACTGATTGAATAGTAATTACACGAGTATATTAGAAGTTGAGGGTATAGGAATATTATGGCGCCTCCTCCTCCTATTATTATCGACGCACAAGCTGTTAGTGGAATTACGGGATCAATTTCGCTAGCATGTTGGATTATTGTATTTGCTCCACAAATTTATGAAAATTTTCGTAGAAAGTCGTCAGAGGGCTTATCGTTGCTGTTTATCATATTATGGTTGGCAGGCGATGTTTTCAATGTTCTTGGATCCGTTTTGCAGGGAGTTTTGCCCACAATGATAATATTGGCAATTTATTATACGTTGGCGGACGTGGTTTTGTTATGGCAATGCTTGGTGTATGGACTCGGGGAAAAGGCTGATTTCATACACTTGTCGCCAGCCAATCCGTTGAATGATGATGTGTTGGAGACGGCTTTATCGAGAGAAGAACGTACCAATACTGTATTTAGCGATGACGAAGACTTGGAAGGAGGCAATCAAGAGGTGAGAAATGGCGATGATAAGTCGAAAATAACGACATTAATGTCGGCGGTATACAAGACGTTGATGGTATCGATAGTTATATTTGCGGGTCTCGTTGGGTGGTACATTTCATACGTCAAGGATGCGCACCGTGGAAGAAAGCATCATCCTGGCAAACACGGTCCACAAGACCTTGTGTACGATCCTCTTGCCCAATTTTTTGGATGGCTCTGTGCTGTGTTCTATTTGGGCTCACGTATACCGCAAATCCTACTTAATTATAAGAGAAAATCATGTGAGGGCATTTCTTTCATGTTTTTCCTTTTTGCATGTCTTGGTAACTTGACCTACGTCATTTCGATTTTGGCTATTGATATGAGTTGGTACTACTTGTGGGTCAACTCCTCGTGGTTAGCCGGCTCGCTTGGTACTTTGGCATTGGATTTCACCATTTTCGTCCAATTTTTCATCTATAACGAAGACAGTGAAGGTTCAGAAGATTCAGAAGATCAAAGCTTGGTCAGTGGATCGCAAAATTCTTACGGAACTGTTCAATAGGCTTAGTTTAGTTCATATTCATCGTTAGAATATATATAAAGTATCATCCCTATAGGTTATAGCATATTACTGACCAATTAGGCAACTTTTCTTAAAGTTACACAAACGGCATAATAAATCCGATGTTATCATTAGAGACAATAATATACTGATTGACAAAATTGGTTAGAACCTTATTGAACTTGACTGCTATATTCGTAACCCATTCCATACTATATGTTGGTGAAAGTATTATAGTTAATGTGTTTACAACTTCATTATGCTTGAACAAGACGAAGAAATAAAAGTGAGAAGGAGAAACAGACCAAGCTTGGTCTGTAATGCTTGCAGACAACGGAAGATCAAGTGTGATAAAGGACGTCCATGTTCAGGATGTGTCAAAAATAAAATCGAACGTCTATGCAAGTATGATTACAATTGGCCTATAAAAAAGAAACAGAAAACAAGTTCCCCAACAGGATTTTCAGACAGTGCTAGATACCCGGTAGCTGTACTTCCGACTAATGGAACAGCTGGTGAAAATGACAGAGCTAGCGGAAAAGCAAGTCCCAAACATGTAGACCCCAGTGAAAGCTCGATTTTGCTTATAGAAAAGTCAAAACTTGACGAGTTAAACGCAAAATTGCAAAAATACGAAGCATCATCAAACGAAGCCAAGGCACCCACGGCAGTTACTGAAACTATGGTGCTTTCTGATGATGGAATCACCCAAAATACAGTAATAAATCAACACATAGAAGCATGTCCGATGACAGGGACAGTATTGCATAATCCTGATTTACCGGGTGAGGTGAACAATTGTTGTTTCTGTACGCTTTTCATTCAAAATGAAAATTATACAGAAGAGACAATAAGAAACGAATTAGCGAATAGTGATAAGCTGTATCAACCTAGAAGCGTCTACATAGGTGTGAATCCTTACCAAGATGAAGACGAAACAATTAACCTATTTGATGATTCGGGCTTTGTAGATATACGGGAACCGTCTAGTAACTCTAATGGAATTTTCAACTGGTCGTCGGTATGGAAAAAAGACGAAGCTTTAGTCGTATTGAAAAAATACAGTCAATATGAAAAATTTGAGAGTGGTAAAGGGGGGACCCTCGTAATATCTAAAAGCAAAAGTAAAAGTATTGTTCCAACTATTGACTCATCCTTGCCCATGAATGCAAATGTACATAATAGGCATAATGTACAGAATTCCGTAACAGAACGTTCTGCTAATCCTAATAATGAGATAATGACAGATGAACTTAGCTCAGAAAGTTCTCAACATTTTGCAAGGAAGGATTTCGAAACAAATAATTTTATGCCCTATAAGAATTCAGTCATAAAAGGCCCGTATGTTGGTCCACGTAGGCGATCATTAAATAATAGTTCTTTACCTTTGGGCCTTTCGTTATTTGATAATCAAGTGGATAGAGAGCTCAAATTGGTAGAGCAAATTAAACACACCATACCGAAGAAAAAGGTCATTTGGTTATTAATAAAACGATTTTTCCGTATTCTTTATCCATTTTTTCCGTTTTTGGATGAAATTGATTTCAGACGAGAGATCAGTAGAATAATTGGGCCTGAATCGTGTGAGGATGAGAAGTTGAAAGAAATTTATGTCGAGAAACGAATAGATTTGGCTAATTTAGGCACGCTCTTAATTATCTTGAGATTGACATATTTATCATTGTTTTCCAATCGATGCTCCGTTAACAATGCGAAATTAACAACAAAAGATACATCGCCAGCTGCCCAAGAAGCAAAGTATTTATTATCAAATCCTGTACATATAAACGCAATTCATACGGGCCAAGTATGCTTGCATCAATTTCAATTTTCAAGAAAGTATAGTTTACCTGTGTTGCAATGTGCTCTTTTCGTAAGACTTTATCATAAATATGCTCCCGAAGATGGTGATGGTGTTGACGGAGGGGACTCTCAAATTTCTATTTGTGTCCTAATTCAAATGGCATATTCAATGGGCTTGAACAGAGAACCAGATAATTTCAAAGAACGTTTCAATAACGAAAGACTTAAAAATGTGGGCAGGAAAATATGGCATAATCTATTAATCAATGATTTTATGAATGCATATACTTACGGTAGTCCTTTGACTTCGGCTGGTATGTTCTATGATACAAAAGTTCCGTTTTATAAGGAAGGGAACGAGAATGTTTTGAATCGCAATTTGGAGCAAGCTATTGCAAAATGCCATGGGTTTGCCGGAGGCTTAATTTATGGCCCAATGAAGGATATTTTGAGACTAACTTCAAGTTTAAGAAAAGATATTAAAATGTCTGAATTGACAGAATATTTAAATAGGCTTGAGATTTGCCCTAATAAGCTATTTGGTGAACCTAGTGACTATACGAACGTTTTGGAATCTGAAGGCGATACTTACTCGTTTGTAAAAATGACCAAATTAGGTGTGCTTCTTTCCTTAAAGGGATTTTATTTATCAGTTTATTCATATTTGATATCGCATTATGATGCCAAAAAAAATCATAGCTTATCTTTTTACTACAGGAAGAAAATATCGTCGTGCATATCTGACTTAACACCCAGCTTATTCTTGCATGTATGCAAAGGTCAAGAGATATTTGGAGAAGGGGCTGATTTGCTTATTAACCCCCATTTAGAAAGAATTATTCATATTATAAATGAAATAAATCTTTCCATGTTGATTAGAGCCAATTTCACGTTGCACCGTATGATCAGGGACGCAGACCATCGTATGAAGCTAAATTCGGACGTCAATTATAAAATTAGGTTTCAGAAGTTGAGTAGATATATCGTATTACTTGAAAACTGTGCAAGAGTTTGCATCTTGGGCACTTCAATAATGAGTCAAAGATATTATTATGCTTGGGGTCTTAATAGAAGCCATAGCTTTTTGCTAAGGATTATTAAAAATGAAGAGTTTTATCTTCAAAATATGAACTGTGACCTTGGTGTTGAAAATATAGCCACTCATCAACTACAGGAACTAATAGATATAACTGAGAGTAGTTTTGCGACATTAAACTCAATTATTGGTGCTCATTGTGAAGATTATCAAGTTCAGAGGTTGTTCGATTTGAAGAATCAACCTCAAATGCCTAGTATATTGATCAATACTTCAGCAGCAAGCTCACCCACTTCCTCTGCTGGTATAATCGAACATCTGAATGATACCACGCAGGTGCCCGAGTCCTTTGCAGAACCTTCTGCAATGATGATGGCCACGAGTGACTTTGATAGTTTCAATTTTGGTACGAGTGCCGAAATCGACTCATTATGGTTGCAAATGCTCTCCATGAAGAACCAAAAGAGAAATTTTATGCCCAACCAGGATACTTCTCTGAATTACACCGGATTGTCGAATGCTGACAAAAGAGCGACAGCGTTATTTGGTAGTCTGGCGCGTGGACAGGTTGCAACCCAATCGCAGGAACAAGTACATTCACAGAATCAATACCCAAGTCCATATCAGGGCCAATACCAAAACTCTGGCCAAGATTTCCCAGATCAACATCAAAATCAACAACAGAATCAATCCCCAAGCAACAACTTTCATTTCCAAGGACAAAATATTCAGGCCGATAATGTTTTTAACCTACCCTTTGACTTTGACGATACCAACGACCTTGATATGTTCAGTGACTTACCATTAGACCAACTTTTCAGCGGAAATATAGTATAGTATATCTTTGTGTAATAGATTCGTATGCGATTATCACGGCTTCGGGAAACTTCTATTTTGGGTTAAGTCCGCATTGTAGATTATTAATTCATCATAGAGTTCTTCATTCAGAAGATATTCTTCAATTATTTCTTTCCTGCTAGACGATAGAGTCTTGAGGGTGCCTATTTCAAATAGAATAGTTAAAAGCTGATGAGTGATCCAAATCTAAAAAAGCGAAAGAGGGCGAGCCTTGTATGCGATAATTGTAAGAAGAAAAAGATTAGGTGTGATAAGGGCCATCCATGTTCCCAATGTATCAGGGCAAAGATAACGAGTTCATGTATATATCAAAATAATGGGAATTCAGAAAGTGACTCTAGTAATGGTTCACTCCCTTATATTCATAGTGCCAAAAATCCGATGACATTTGCTGCAGGTAATGGCGGCATGAGCAATGGCAAACGTTCTAATATTAGTCATAAATTGGATACACCGGAGGAGGTAACGATACCCAAAGAAGAGTTAGATGATCTAAAGGGGCGTTTGCAACAAATTGAGAGCCTCTTGAAAACGCAGTCGTCGCAATCTACGCTGAATCCGAAATTCAATGAAATCAAGCGGTTGGGTACTGGAGACTCTGTAGGTATCAAGTCTGAAATGATGTCACCGATAGGTTCACCGATGAAACTATCTCCATATCCAGTGAAGAAAAATGACATGTCGATTCAATTGCCCCCAATTAATTGGAATATGCTGGACATAAATTCTGGAAAAGCTGAGGGTGCTCAATGTGATATTCTGTTCGGAAATACACCCAGCTCGGTTGATTCTTTGAATACTTCGTCCACTCAGAGTACTAGATCAAGTGGGCCTGATCGCGAATCTCTCAGTGGTATCAATCCGTACGGAGATGAGAACGAAACGATCAATTTTTATGAGAATTATACATCTATTCATGTGCAAGAACCCATGAGACGTATAAACTTTGGACCATTCGCATGGTCTTCATTAATGAAGAAGGACTCCGGATTGAGAATCTTGTGGGATTACATGATTGAGCAAAAGGAGAAGTCATCGAGAGAAAATAATTTCAGTATGATGTTTTCACAATCAAGACATGAGGTTACGCAAGAAAACACAAATGCTATTACGTCTACGTTTTATGGTGACAAGACAGATAACCCTGAGGCGTATTTCAAAAAGAGGGCCTTGGAGACTGATGGATATGATGATATGGTTCCTTATACGAATGTCTTGAAGGCGAGAACAGATCTGTACAATAAGAAATCAAAGCTAAATGAGAATGCATTGCCATTAGGACTTACATTTTATGAAGGACAAGTTGGTAAAGAATTGAGGCTCAGTGATAAAATTCAATTACATCTTATCGACAAAATCCAAATAATTTTACCAACAAGAAAAGTTATATGGAAACTTATTGATAGGTACTTTACTTGGTTATACCCATTTATGCCGTTTATAGACGAGGAGTCACTTATTAGAGATATCAGTAAAATACTAGGACCCAAGTCTTTCGAAGACACGAAAATCCAACAGGTTAAGGTTGAAAGACGGCTAGATTTGGCTCACATTGGAATACTATTGGTGGTTTTAAGATTATCATACCTATCTTTATTCTGCAATAAAAGTTCAGTGAACGAGGAACGACTAAAAACTACCGACCCAAGCCCAGAAGCCCAAGATATGAAATTCTTATTATCGAACCCAATTAATATCAATACAATTGATGTTGCTCAATTATGTTTGGATCAATTCCAATTGCTAAGAAAATCTAGCTTTCCAGTTTTGCAATTGGGTTTGTATATGAGACTATATCATATGTATGCCCCCGAAGACGGCGATGGTGCTGATGGTGGGGATGCGCAAGTATTGACTGCGATGTTGGTCCAAATGGCGTACTCACTAGGTTTAAATAGAGAACCAGATAACTTTTCTGATGTTTGTAATGATCCTAAAATGAACCATTTAGGTAGAAAGATATGGCATTCGTTATGTTTTCTTGATTCGTATCTCGGATTTTGTTTTGGCAATCCATTGTCAGTTGATAGCATGTTTTTCGATACTAAAATACCATTTTTCGAAGAAGGAAACGAGAATACAATTGACCCTAATATGGATAGAAATGTGACACAGGCCTTTTTTTCTTGTGGTGGAGCTTGTATACGGATGAGAGAGATTCTATTACTTGTATTGAATGTTAATGGCAAAACGAAAATGTCAGAATTGACTAAGTTGTTGTCAGATCTTGAGATAATTTTGAAAGATGAATATGGTAATTTGGATGAGTGTTTAAGGCCTCTCGAGAAAAATTGTCATGCATACGTATTCACTAGGAACTTCAGAACAAAAATATATTTGTCAATTAGTGCGTTTTTTGTTTCGCTTTATTTTCACCTATATCTTTTTTATGAAGAAAAAAATGTGAATTTGTCATTCTTCTATCTAAAGAAGATGCTATTAATTGCTACTAGAGACATTATGCCACGTTACTTTGATTTGTTAGGTAATAGTGATATCATTTGTGACTTCGTTATTAATCCAACTCTTGAGATGACTATTCACAAATCAAATCAAGTCAATCTCGCATGCTTGGTGAAGGCTAACTTTATTATATATAGTATGACTCGCGACAATCAGCATAACGAGAAGATGATCATTGATCTGCACTATCGCTTAAATTTTAGGCTTTTATGCAAATTATCCACATATTTGACTAGATGTGCAGAATTCTCAATTGAAGCCATTTCAAAGATTAGTAATAGATACTATTATGCTTGGAGAATCACAAAAGGTCATACCTATTTATTGAAAACAATTACAAACAAAGATTTCTATGTGGATAAATACAAAGAGGCGAGCCATCTCTGTTTTCAACGTTTTACCATTGAACAAATGGAGGATCTCATTAAAATCTGCGAAACGACATTAAATAAGGTTGGTAAATTTGAAACGACTTCCAACGAATTTCAATCCGAATTCTGCAACATCTTCTATTCGGAAAGCGTGACACCCAGTACCAGACTGAATCCTAGTACTGGAAACAATTATGCAACTACTCCAAATTTTAGACCGAATACTACTAATATTGATAAGAACGATGGCGATTCGAACTTGAAGAATAAGAATATCTATAAAGGTTTCGAATCTAATTATGTTGATAATGCAGAAATTGATAAATTGTGGTTCCAAATGCTTTGTGTAAAACATGATAATAAAATGTTCGATAATGGTATTCCAGAGAGCGGCGATCCTTTGACTTATGATTCTCAAAGAATGGCAAATGTTTTCACAAATTCTCCCGGTGTTAGTTTTATGGATAATAATGAATCGTCTCAAAAGGGTCCTATGGCTAGGGGGTTTAATAAGTCTCAGGAAGCGACCACTCCATTCTCAAGTCAGAATAACGGGTCGAATATCGATAGATATGGTTTCGATTTAGAGCAGGCTACTCATTTTGATATTTTCAGTGAGTTACCCATTGACCAAGTATTTAATAACGCTGATAGTGTAGGTATTTAAGATGGTGTAGGTATTTAAGATGGTGTAGATATTTAATATGGTATTAATATATAAGGCTGAAAAATACAAATATTTCTCAAAACGTCATAATCACGAGAGCGATCCGGTAGGTAAAATTTATTTGCATTTACTTAGTAATTAATTAACCATTACTTTAATGATTCATGAAGACAAATGAACGAGTATCATCCGAAGAAACGAAATAAGCCAACTTTGGTTTGTACAAGATGTAAGAAAAGAAAAATCAAATGTAATAAAGAATTACCTTGTTCATCTTGTGTCAATTCAAATGTTGGTAATGAATGCAGTTACGATAACAAATGGCAACCAATATCATTTGCAGATGATGACAACATGAGAATCAAAAGGCAGAAATCAAAAAAAAAGGAGATGAAGAATACACCGGATAATCTCAAGAGGTATACGGAATCTGCGACCTCTTCCAATGGGCTAGGTAAATCTAGGCCACAGTCATCTATGGCAGACTTTTATGCCCAAGATTACGTGGTGCCTGCTTTCAATCCACATTTTTCTAATCCTATTGGGCCCGAGGATGACATGGTAAACTTCCATGAAGGTTATATGCCTATCCACGTCAAGGACGAGTCAAGAAGGTTGTGCTTTAATCCACTTTGTTGGGCAAGTTTATTGAAAAAAGATCCCTGTTTATATAAGGTTTGCCAATATGTTGAAGCACGTCCGGCTCCTCTCTGGTTTTTGATGAAAAGTGCCAATTTAAGTCAAGAAAATATAAATGCGTTAACATCGAGAGATGGGAAACATGGAAAACCAGACGGTGAATTTATTAGCAAATTATTAAAAGTCGAAGGATACGAAGAATTAGTTCCATACAAGAAATTGTTAACGATTCGAGCAGATACTACTGAATCAGCGAATAAAATAGACCTCAGTACTTCAACTTTGACCAGCACATTGTTTGAAGGGAAATTTGATCCTGAATTAAAGTTGATTGAAAACATCAAAACAATAATGCCCAAAAAGAAAGTAGTATGGAAATTGATTGATAAGTTTTTCGAAACACTCTATCCATTTATGCCATTCGTTGATAAAGATTACTTTACAGCTGATATGGTGAGGATTCTAGGAACTAAAAGTTATGAAGATGAACCTTTTGAATACATGAAGATTATAAAACGATTAGATTTAGCACATGTTGCGATCTGTTTGATTATATTGAGATTTACCTATTTGACATTATTTTCCAATAGAAAGTGTATGAATGAAAAAATTATCCATTCCAATGATCCATCACCTGCCATAAACGATTTAAAATATTTATTAATGAATCCAGTTAATGTCATAGTCATAGAAATGGCACAGCTCTGTTTGGATCGGTTTGAAATATCGCGGAAGACTAATTTAACGGTATTTCAGGCTACATTATATATGAGAATATATCACAGTACAGCACCAGAAGATGGTGACGGAACAGACGGTGGTGATTCTCAGGTATCTACGGCTGTTCTTATTCAAATGGCATATGCATTAGGGTTGAATAGGGAGCCTGATAAGTTTGAGGATGTATGTAATGATGAACGAATAAATAATTTAGGGAGAAGGATGTGGCATTTTCTAGTCCGGAGTGATATTATACATTGTTTTCATGCTGGTAATCCAATGTCAATTGACCCTAGGCATTATGATGTTAGCTTTCCATACACCACAGAAAATAATATGACTTCAGATAATGCACAATTGGAGAAAGCCATATCTCAGACATTTGGGTGGTTTAATTATAGATTAAATGCAATCAGAGAAATCGTTGATAAATTTCTGGATATTCATGGATCTTATGCCATGAATGAGTTGACACAGAAATTAAATGACGTGGAGAGAGTTTGTCGAGAAGACTTTTCCACCCTAGAGCAAGTGTCAAGTAATAGCTCTATTTCCGAACGATTTATTGACGTGGTTAATGCGAGAGTATTTATTGCGCTTAAAGGTTCGATGTTGATATTGTATCATCATATATATCTCCATTATGAAAGTAAATCGAGATTTGATATTATGTTTTTTTATTTCAAGAAAGCATATGTGATTTTCCAAAACGATTTGTTACCATATATTTTTGCCGTACTCCACGGAAAGTTAAGCAATGATGGGCTTATACTCAATCCACATACTCAGATGGCAATTCATAAATTTAATCAATTTAATCTTGCATTTTCTGTAAGAATTGGGTACAAGTATCACGATATGCTTAGCAATTATGATCATTCACGCCTCATGAAAGAAGACGTGGAATATCAAAAGAAGTTCGTCAAAATTTCGAATTTGTTGAAGAACAACAAAACAATTGGAAACCTTATGCTAGGTTTAATGTCCAAGATTTCAGATCGATATTTTTATGCATGGAGGGTAGTACAGGCTCAGAAATACATTTTATCAATTATCAATAATCCTGAATTTTACAGTAATATTTCAGCAAATTCACGAGGCATAAATCGGTTAAAACTTAATAATTTACAAGTAGATGATATGGAAACGTTAACGCGTTCTTTGGGCAAAGACCTAGAGACGATAGTTAACTATCAAGATTCTGTAGATATCGATATCGATACTGCAAACTACAATTCATCGAGCAAGTCTAGACGTGGCACGGATGTCGGAAATATTTTTCCTGCTAATAATAATGATAATGAAAATAAAACGAAAACGAATCTGGACACTGATATTGGTTCCATTTTAGACTTCCCTCAGTCGATGATGTCTAATGAGTCCCCGCTTCAGGATTTTATCTACCCTAATAACGAAGAGATTGACCAAATGTGGCTCCTGGTGATGGCACTGAAGTACGATCCAATGGAGCTTTTATCCGGAGGTTTTGATCCAATTGGGTATTTTAATCAACAACTCCAGAGTACTCTTAGCGATCGTCTTGAAACCGACCCAAGTAATCCAGTATTTGAATGAAAAGAAGAGCGTCGATAAATGTAACATCAGGACATTCACTATTGACGTATCAAGCTTACAATTTCGTAGCTAATATTTGTAAACACTGTTTTAATATGTACATATATCATTTTGCAGTCGTGTATGTAATCTGTAAAGTCAAAATCAGCGAGATAAATTTTTTTTCAAGATGCATTATAATGTTGATTCTATTGATAGTCAAATGGCAGATACGAACATAGATACAGTACAGGCAGACGTCATCACTTCGAAGGAGATGGAAAACCAGGATACCGAACAATCACAAAAAAGAGGCGGATCTGAAGTAGAGAAAAATGATTTTAAGCGGCAGAAGGTAGTTGTACCAGAGGGTATGACCAAACGAGAATACAAAAGACAATTGAAACAGCAACGTTGGGAAGAAACCAAAGATGAATACAAACAGAAGAAAAGAGAAAAGAAGAAGGCAGCCAGAGAACGTCGTAAGGAACGCATAAAAGAGGCCGAAACCAATGGGGAATCAAACGAAGAGCTCTACAACTATCATCAGATGAAGCGAGCCAAGGTAGCACCGCAAGAGCAGATAGATACCGATGTTAAAATAATAATGGACTGTGCATTTGACTCGCTTATGAACGACAAGGAGATCGTATCATTGTCGAACCAGATCACCAGATCGTACTCGGCCAAGAAACACAGCACGTACGACGTGCAATTGGACATCACGTCGTTCAACAAGAACTTGAAGAAACGATTCGAGAAGGCCATTCCGCAGTACGACAAGTGGACCAACGTGACGTTTGTCGAAAACGATAAACTAGAGGATATATTGCCAATGGACGACAAACAGGCTCTCAGCAAATATGTGTATTTGACCGCCGACACCGACGAGGTTATCGACACGCTCGAACCACAACACACGTACATAATTGGGGGCATTGTGGACAAAAATAGGTACAAGAACTTGTGTCTTAACAAGGCCCAATCGCTTGGTCTTAAAATCGGCAGATTGCCCATCGACAAATTCATTAAGATGAATGGAAGACAAGTTCTTGCCACATCACACGTATTTGAATTGTGCTGCAAGTGGTTTGAGAACGACAAAGACTGGGGGAAGGCGTTCAACGAAGTTCTTCCACCTAGGAAGGTGAAGGGCAAGCTCACGCACGACGCCGAACCAGAAACCTCCATTGAGCCATCTGACGCTTCCGAACAACCGGTACTGTCTGACCAACCTGTACTGTGTGAAAAATCTGTATTACCTGAATCATCAGACGAACCATCCAAAGGTGCAGACCACTAGACCACCTACTATCTACTACTAGTAGAGACTTCTAAGTGCAACCCATCACGTGCATTCTTACGTTTATTATCACATGATCTATACCATCGGATATAACCATTATTTGTACGATTACACGACTGTTTCCCGAAGTTTGTTTGTGTAGTGTCCCTCAATGCGATCGAGGCCACGATGGCCCATATACGTAACATACACTCTGTGTGCCATTGCATCATATCGCAATATATGCGACATCGCGACATCGCGACATACGTGTCGTCCCTGCTCCCAGTCCTCTGATCTACCCACCCACCTGTGTATTGTCCAACGACTATTAATGACATACGTACTACTTTTAGACTACATACTTCATACGACATACTTCATACTACATTCTTCATATACACATACTTTATACATACTTCATATATTGATATTCCACTTACCCCTACGTTGTAATAATCTCATATTTAATACTCTAGGCACACTTCATACTCTACATACTCTATGACACCCATACTACCATCCTTCGGGGGCTTTCGGTTGCTCCCTCACCTGTAGTCTAGCATCAACCTGGATTGTTCTGTGATTGTTGGCACTGCGCCGACCTCACTTGCTGTATTATGATTTGGCCCAATGTCGCGCGATGTCGCGCGACTACAATGTAGTTGGAAGTAGAAATGTCGCGTGGGCCTTAGAATGAAATTTTTGAATCGAAAAGGGCGGCTAATTTGTATTAAATATCAGTCTGTTCTTTTAATATACTTATATACTATTGATAAAATACAACAGATTATTGTATTAGATTTATTTATTTATAATCAAAGTATAGCATATACATAATAATAGGTACGTTGAACAATTCGGTCAATATGATTGATTAATTGATTATTTTGAATCGCAGGACACACCCATGGGATCAGGACAACAAGCGGGAAGCGATCAAGAACAGAGTGACGAAAATCGCAGTTTAAGGGCCGCAGAAGGATGGAGAGTTGTCCAGAGGCCTTGTGGGTGGCAGATCGATCGTTTGGGGTCATATGGCAGCGATAAGTGGACTTAAAGGCTTGGGAGAACGTCGGTGGTGGTGAGAGGGAACGCGATACCAACGAAGACCTCCTTTCGAAAGAAAAGACGACTGGGACGCCTCCAGCCGCCATAGATAGGATTATGAGACGGGAAGGGTCGATGGGAGTGTCAAACAAGTTTGACGGTGATGATTTGTCACTACACGGAGTTTTTCGACCCCTCGCGATCTGACAATCCGGATTTGTTTTGAAGAAGATTTAGCGAAGAAACATTTGAATGGTGCAGCCCTGCGATTTGATATTTGATTCCGGAATGAATAGAAAAACAATATACTAACAATTTTCTAGTCGCATAATGGTTCCTCCTCCAGCTGAAATCCGTAGAAAATTAGTTATCGTTGGTGATGGTGCTTGTGGTAAAACATGTTTGTTAATTGTGTTTTCCAAAGGTACATTCCCAGAAGTTTACGTTCCAACTGTTTTCGAAAACTACGTCGCTGACGTCGAAGTTGATGGCAGAAAGGTTGAATTGGCCTTGTGGGATACTGCTGGTCAAGAAGATTACGATAGATTGAGACCTTTGTCCTACCCAGACTCCAATGTTATTTTAATCTGTTTCTCCATCGACTCGCCTGATTCGTTGGATAACGTATTAGAAAAGTGGATCTCGGAAGTGTTACATTTCTGTCAAGGTGTTCCAATCATCTTGGTTGGTTGTAAGTCTGATTTAAGAAACGACCAAAACACCATCCATCAATTAAGTCAACAACAACAACAACCAGTCTCCACCTCCGAAGGTCAAGCGGTCGCCCAAAAGATCGGTACTAGTTACTACTTGGAATGTTCCGCTAGAACTGGAGAAGGTGTCAGAGAAGTGTTCGAAGCTGCTACCAGAGCCTCGTTGAAGACTAAAGAAAAGAAGGAAAAGAAGAAGAAGTGTGTTGTGTTATAAGTTTTGCATCCTACTCCCTGTGTTGATTCGTTAAATTATTACTTGTTGTTCCCAGGTTAATTTATTTTTTGGTCTTGATTCAAAAAGTAGATGTGATATTACGATTCTTGTTGTAGCTTTACAAACACTGAACTATTATTATGACAATAACAATGATAATAATTTAATATTTATACATTACTTTTGCTTTGATTAATTTAATTAACACCCTTTATGTTTATATATACTACATATTATAATTTTCTTTCCCTTGTTTTATGTTATCGATAGTGGTTTTTATTTCTTATATGTTTATCAATGCTACATGTTTATTACGATTGTAGGGGCTACTAGAAACTAGTGGGTCCGTATAGTAGTATCTAGTTTATTATGCTTAATAACCGGGTAATGTTGGTTCAAAATATTAAGTGACACAAAATCTCTTTTGAACAACCAATTGAAAATTAGACATTTTAGTGCTTATATAGTACCATACTTATTAGTATATTCTCTAGCCATATATAGTTACCCAAGATGATTTCAAGCTACAGAATAGGCGCTAGACGCTTAATAGCCAACAAGCAAATGGTTCGCTTTTCCAGTACTGGCTTAACAAAACCTGAATTAAAACAAAACCCTATTACTGAACAAGCGCCAAACAGAAAAACAACTTGGTCCGAATCCCAAGAAAGCAGATCGGAAGCTATTGCCAGACACGCAGCGAGATTTGTTCAAAGAGATTTGGATTTACAACCAAGACCATATGCAGCTATAGATTTAATTGCCAAGGAACCGGTTAGATACCTTTCTCATGAAGATGGGAATATTGCAGTCTGTGACGGTAACAAGGGTGATAACTTACAAGGACATCCTAAGATTTTCATCAACTTGGACCAGCCTAAGGCCAACAAGTGCGGTTACTGTGGTTTAAGATACGCTAAAGAAGAATTCAGAGAAATTATTGAATCAAAGGCTGACATTTAAGATACTTACCAGCATAAATATTAATTGTGTGCTTAATGTCAATTACAGTTGATAATGAACTGTTCTTTTCAATAATCGTCACTCATCATCAATGTACGCATGATCAAACAGCCATGCAGACATTTAAATTTTCATAAAATATCTCCGGATATAAATTAAATAAATTCATTTAATCGGTTGTATTATCCTTCCTTCATAAACTTTATATTATATACTTTATCATGCTATTTAATTAATTTAAATTTGTATCAGTGACAGTGTAATTGAGCGATCCTCGGATATATGGTGATGGACAATATAAGGACGCTTTCGCCAAAATTATTCTAATGGAATTATCAAACTACTAATCTGTTTCCGTTACACCTATCAATTAAGATATATTTGTCTATATTTACCAGAAATCCAAGCACTCGAGTTACAGCTACAAATTATTGCAAAACTTACCCCATATTATAGGGAGTGAAATGAATCAGACTCAAGAAGAATCTAGATTACAATCTGTCAAACGATTTTTGAATGATGCAACATTGCTGGATCTTGGTAAAGGTATTGCTTATGGAGTCTATTATTCTAAGACTCATTTAGTGGACTCTTTCGTGATAATCCCCTCGGGGATTTTGGTGTTATTTACAATATTATATGGTTTTAATCAACTATTAAGTAACGTTTTGAAGATTCGATTTCCCAGTTCGGTGTTAGGAATGTTGATAAATTTGATATTATTGAGTGTCTTGAGCGTGTTAGCTGAATTGCAAAGTACCGATAAGACTTCGTTGAAGTATAAAACTAGTAAATGGAGTTCGTTTATATTCACTAATTATTTAAGGTTAATTAAGCCCTCGATGAATTTTACGTTGAAATGGATAAATGTCTTTTTTATTCCATCTTTCATTATATTGCCATTGTCGGATCCAATATCGTTCATAGAATGCTTGAAGATTGCTGGGGTCTTTGTTGTTGGTTTTCTTAGTCTTTTCTGCGTTGATGTTTATTTGATTTTAGGCTTGAAATGGGTCTATAGAAGTTTTGGTTTCTTGAAAGGTGATGATAATCCCAGTCATGACAACAAGCAAAATACCCCTGAAGTAGAAGATGGTGATGGTGAAGGAATAGAGGAAATCGAATTACAAAGCTTGAGTAATAGTGGGGATGGTGCGATAACTACTATGAGAGATGATAGAACTACAATGAGAGACGATATAACCACCATCGATTTATCGAGTTTGAGGACTACTAAGAATGAACCAGTAGTAAATAATAGCATTAATGAGAACCCGTTTACTCAAGAGGTTTCTATGAACTCAGTGGATATTCCACATATTCCTGAACCTGGCCCAATTCACTTAAGGGACTCACAACCCCCTCCTAGTGTAAAACTGACACCAGTCAGCACTACTGCAAGATCAACTTCCCCATCAGTAGCATCATCGTCTCCATCTGAACCAATATTCACAAACGACAACTTGACCAAATCCTGTCAGAGTATAATAATATTCATTACAAATTATATTGACTGGATATTATACTTCATCTTATTCATTGTATCGTTACCATTTTATTATATTAAGTCAATTCATGTTTTTTTACCATATCATTTGGGTTTGACAATAATATCATATTATATTGCATTATTAATTCCGTTGAGGTGGCCAAAATTAAAGAAAATTGCACATCCAATTTTAATCCTGACAGCCGAAATCCTTTTCGTATGTTTTATTGGCTCTTTGATATTTCACAGGGGTGAATTGAAAGGATTTTTAGATGACTTAAAATTTTACAAAACAGGTAAAACATATCTCAACTTATTCAACGATAAGGTCTTACTAAATAGTGGAAAAGTTGACCATGAACTAGATTCTGACTACACGGCCACTCCAAAATGGCCTGGATGCGGAGATGTTTTGTCTTCATTAATGGACATTTCTATTGTTTCGCTTTCTTTGCCGATGTTCACTCACAGGAAGGATTTCTTAAAGAACTTCTGGGTTTTAGTTCCCCCAATATTAATCTCTATAGCATTAACTTTCTTCTGTTACCCTATAATCTGTTACAATATAGGTATTGCATCGCAAAGATCAATAGGATTTATAGGAAGATCTGTTACACTAGCATTGGGTACTCCATTAATTGATGCTCTAGATGGCTCAATTTCATTAATGGCCGTTTGTACCATATTGAGTGGTATATGTGGAGTATTAGTAGGAGATACTTTATTTAAAATGTTGAGAGTTTCTAAGGACGATTATGTTACAAGAGGTGTTAGCTTAGGCATTAATTGTGGTGCCATTGCAACTGCCCATTTATTAAATGTTGATCCTAGAGCTGCTCTGATGAGTTCGTTAGGATTTAGTATTTTTGGTACAATCATGGTCATTATGGCAAGTATTGGTGCTGTTAAAGATCTTATTAAATCTTGGGTTGGGTTGTAACAAATATCAGATCGCGTACTAAAATTGAAAATCAGAAATTTCTGACGTAGTTATTCTATTTATTTATGCTTTTTTATTTATTGTTCAATAGAAAATAATGAATATTCATGAAGGAACTAAAGTAATACTATTGCCTAAGGAAAAGGGGTTGTATTCCATTATTAAATTGCCGAACATCTTGGATCAAAAATCATTTAAATCCTACTTGTTACGCGATGATCAACTATTCGAGTTGAGAGAAATTAAAGGCGACAATCGCTATCTTCCTAATGACAGCAAGCGACCAGTCATCCCTAATACAGGGCTGTCCGTGAAATCGTTTATATTTGAATCGGAGGAAAATGGATGTGTTGTTCAGTCACCAAATTTGATAGTGTCAACTAAATTCAATTTAGTGTACTATTTGATGTCAATCATGTATAATAACGATTCATTCGCCAAACGATTTATTACATTTGAAGACTTCAGTGATACCATATCTAGTTTATTTGAATATAACTCCTGGGTGGGTGCTATACCTATGAAAATATACAAATCAGCCTTATCTGAAATATGTGAGACAATCGAAGAAAATGATGAAATATTTTACAAATACTCTAATGCAAAGGTAATTGAATATCTAAATAGAAAAGTTTCTCAATTGCTGGCGTACTTAGGTTCTCAATCAGACTTATCCATAATACTGAAAATCAAGCAAGAATTATATCGACCAATAAGTGAAGGAAGCAATGACATACCGTCAGATATTTTACAATTGTCGATTATAAGGCATTCAATTGACATGATATGTGGATCATATACACCAATTGAAATCAGAAATCAAGTAATGAATAATGAAGGGTACGAATTCGACAAATTGAACGCATATTTGAAGGACATACAGGCACAAAGAAAAGAGCTTGAATTAGTTGAATCAAATATGAATGCAGTAGTTGAGACTACCACAAAAGTTGAAACAAAGAAGAAGGACACCAAGAAAAAGGTTGTAAGGAAGAAGGAGGTAAAGAAAGTTGCTGTCGGTAAAGGTGCATTAGATGGATTTTTCAGAAAAGCATAATAGATAGACGTATATAAAATAGAAGCTATTTACAACATATTCAACTAATTAATTAATTAGAAATGGCTATTTCTAGTTATCTATTTCTTTTCATTATCAATTTGTTTATTCAAACTGTTGTAAATTGATAAACCACTGGCCATCCAATTACCCATATCACCCATGTTAGAAGGAATAACAACGGTATTTGATTCCTTAGCGAGTTTACCAAACTGCTTGACGTATTCTTGAGCAACCTGTAAACTTACAGCTTGTTCACCACCTGGAGTTTCCTTAATGGCTGTAGCAACCTTCTTTAAACCTTCAGCTGTAGCCTCTGCGTTTAATAATATCGACTCTGCTTCACCCTTAGCCATGTTGATCTTTTCTTGCTTATTAGCTTCTGACGACAAAATAACCGATTGCTTTTCACCCTCTGCAATATTAATTCTAGATTGTCTATTACCTTCAGATTCCAAGATTTCTGCTCTCTTCGAACGTTCGGCGCTAACCTGTCTGTGCATTGCTTCCAAGACATTTTGTGGTGGATGGATATCTCTGATTTCGTATCTGAGACATTCCACACCCCATTCCTTCGATGCCTCGTTAATTGCTCTGTTGATATTCAAGTTCAATGCCTGTCTTTCTTTCAAAACTGAATCCAAGGTCAACGAACCAATTTCAGACCTCATGGTAGTCTGCGCTAACTGACTTATGGCAAATTTAAAATCTTCAACCCCATAAGACGCCTTATAAGGATCATTCACCTTGACATAAAGAATACCGTCCATCTCCAACGACACATTATCTGCCGTAATGGCATTCTGCGATGGAATTTCAATAGCCGACTCTTTTAACGAGTGAACGTACGTAATCTTATCTAAAACTGGAATCAAAAAAGCCATACCTGGCGATAAAACCCGATTGAATTTACCCATTCTTTCCACGACCCATGCTGTTTGTTGGGGAACGAACTTAATTATCGTATTAGCTGGAAGTCTTTCCTTCTGAAAGAATGACAAGCTTGGTTGGAAATTTGAAGGATTATTAGTGAATCTTCTAACATTTTGCAAATTTGCTAGTCTTCTAGTAGCAATTAACCTATTTGAATTTATTACCGTCTGTCTCGTCAACATGATTTACTGTGGTTGAATACTAAGTACTCTATGAATTCAATCAAGTCTTACTTAGTACCAGTGCCACCAAAGAATATATTAAGGCCATAAAAAGTGACACAAAATTGCAATTTTCTATTTGGACCTTTTTTGAAAATTATTAGATGAGTTTTGCAAGAGTCGCTTAGTGTACTAATACATAGCTATAAGGTATTATTTGATATGGCCAAAGGTGTGGAAATATCAACGAACGAGGAGTTATACGTTTTAGAGTCTCTTAAACAAGGATTCAGAACAGACGGTAGAAAATTAGATGAGATTAGACAGCCAAATATAACATTGAGTCCTAATGAGTATGGATATGTTGAGATTGAATGGGGATTAACAAAATTGGCGGTGAGGGTTTCGGCAGAGATTGTTGTTCCGTACGAGGATAGACCATTTGAAGGGTTATTTATGATAAATACAGAAATATCGCCTATGGCATCGGCCCAGTTTGAAAATGGAAAAAATTCAGACGACGAGATTTTGATATCCAGATTGATCGAAAAGGCCATTAGAAGGTCAAATGCTTTGGATTTGGAATCGTTGTGTATTGTTGCCGGATCTAAAGTTTGGCAAATAAGAGCAGATATTAACTTTTTAAATTATGATGGGGGCATCATCGATGCTTCAAGTTTGGGGGTGATGGTTGCATTGCAACATTTTAAGAAGCCAGATATTTCGATCAACGGGGAAGAAATCATAGTGCATAGCGTTGACGAAAGACAGCCTATTCCTTTGTCCATATTGCATGTACCTATCTGTATAAGTTTCCTGTTTTTCAATCCGGTAGGAATAGAAGAAAATATCAAGGGAGATTTAAACGAAGAGATTTCCATAATTGACGCCAACCAACAAGAAGAATTGTTAAGGGATGGATCACTCGTCATAACAATAAATAAGAATCGTGACTTGATCCAATTGTCTAAGAATGGTGGTTTGCCAATAGATGTCATGCTTTTGATGCAGTTAGCCAAAAGAGCGTATGTCATAGCAGATAATTTAACTGATAAAATCAAAGAGTTATTACAAGCCGATGAGAAAGAGAGATACGAGAGAATGAACTTGAAATTATTAGAAGTAGGTGCCGATAGGTAGGAAGATTAGTGATGTGTATGTAACAGGCATATAGTATGACTAAAATAGAGCGAAACGAAATTATTAAACCAAGGAATTGATTTCTGACAGTCAGGAAATGCTGTATATATAGTTATCGCTTCCATAATGCATTTTCAGATTCATAGATTTTCAGATTCATAGATTTTCAGATTATGTAGATTTTCTTCAATTTTGTACCAAAAATTGCAAAAACTCAGAAATATATATTTTTCCCGTAACTATTTAATCTGCAATAGGTTTCATATGACCGTACAAAAGGTATAATCATTACCGAGACGAGGCTAACACCCATTAATGATGACGAATAGTATCACCCATGAACGATGACGAATAGTATCTACGTTTGCAAAGGGTACCATGGAATTGAAAAATTAAATTTAAAAATTCACATAACTTTGTTAACTAATCAGTATAAAAGAATGAATTTTAGTTGGTAATAATATGAGAAATGGTCTTAACAACCCTATTATACAAAAATGAAGTAATAAACATATAAAACAAAATATCAATGAATGATTTTATGACTAGTTTATGCATGTCTTATCAAATTCAAGTAAACTCCGAGAAGGCATTAATATTCTAACTGGTAATGATAAAACAACTATAGTTATCATTGCATGAGAATCTAGTAATAATGACAAATTGTATAATACCGTATGAATTCATATGCACTTTATTGTGTCCAAATATGAATAAAATGAAGTCACAACTGCGAGTAAAACACCGCATTAACAAGTTGGACTTTAATGACAATAAGCCTCCATTCTATTGGATGGCATTAAATTTAATGAATTTATATAGCTGAGTACGCGTGAGTCGCAATAATGACGAAACTAAACGATAGCTTTGTCAGTATCAAAATCAACTTCAAGAGGTAAATTTGAATCCTTTCTCGCTCTTTTCTTCAAATTCTTGCTGCGAATATTGAGAGGCATATACTTGTTCAATGGGGTGAATACCGAAGTGATTTTCTTCATAAACTTCTTGAATCCATTGGAAATGACAAGCAAATACAACAAGTATTCCAAGAAAAAGAATATGCCGGCAATTACAAATCCGCCAAATACTGCTAATCCGATGTGGTTAGCAAGCGATTTCACGAACTTGGCATCGTCAAGATGCCATGACGAGCCTGGAGCAATGGCGAAGAACGAGTATTTGTGGGTCTTGTAGTCTTCTGGAAGTAAAATACGAACTTTGCCCGCTTCTGGAACCCCCCAACGCTTGTACTGCTTCCAAATAACCGACAAGAACAATGGTCCTGTCGTGTACATGATGGTGATGTAAGGCACCAACCAGTTCTTTTTGTAGGGCTTCAAGCTATCCAAAACCTTCAAGAAGAACGGGTGTCTAGGGACAGAACCCATGACGTCGTTTGAGATACCTGTAGGGATTGTCTTACGCACAAACGCCGACACGGTCAAAAGAGGGTCAAGACGACGTTCACACCCGTCATCAAGATCGATGTAGACTCCCCCATAGTGCACCAAAGCAAAGTAACGAATGGCATCTGCCCGTTGGATTGGATATGGGTACGAGTCCCACGTTTCCAAAAACCATGGATATTCCTCCGCAATGAACTCTCTCGACATATCGTCGGTCCACAAAATGTACTGGTAATCTGGATGCAAGTCCACACACGCTTGCTGGCCTGGTTTCCAAATCTCAGGAATCTGGTTTGTCTTGTACGTTTGGTGAATAATCTTAGGGATAATAGGCGGTTTATCAAGCACCCCATTCGTCGGGTTCAACTCCACGTCCAAAAGCGCATCGCTGAAGCTATCGTCATGTAACAACGTAATCAAGTCAAACGTATACCAGACCAAAAACATCACCAACATCACATGCCCCCATAGTATGTATTTAACTTCTTTTCTCATTATGTATAGTCTAATCTACCTACTGTAGTCCTTTAAAATCCTTTTTTTTCTAATAATGAATGAATAAAGTTGGTGTAGACTCTAATTTCTAATGCTAATAGTAATAATCGCTGAATATTCGATCAAAACCACTTTCCTGTAATAGTCTATAATATCGTTGTTTTTTATATCAAACTTCGTATGCAATCAAAGTATAGCCACTATAGAATATATTGACTAGGTAATACGTATAATAATGCTCTTTATGAATATTAATTTAAGACAATTAAATTTTAATAGTATAAACAACCATATATATTAAAATCCTGAAATTCGCAGTTTCCCCTATTACTGGATATTGGGTCTTTTGTGTAATGAAAAATTAGAGTGCTACGCCAAAGTGATCATCGTTGTGCACTGCCCAAAACGCAACTATGTAGAGGAAGATGCATGACAAGACCAACAGAAGGCTGTGCTGGGGTGTGTAGAGTGTGGGAGTCCAGGGAAAGGGGAGGGGGTGATGGGCAGTGAGTGATAGATGGATAATGACATGGGAGATGGGAAAGGGTGCAAAAGGAAGAAAGAGATGTGATGAGAAGCGAGAGAAAGATCTACCTCGGTAAAGGAGGACGGCTAGTGGGGGCATCGGTGCGACATGGGTTTTGTGGTTGTGACAGAACACGCAGAGAGGATGCAGCGACGCGATATCAGTCCATCGCTGATGTCATGGGGCCGGTGTTACGAGGTTGCGATGTCGCGTCCGCGACATCGACACCAAAACGTGGTCTCGCTGGTGAACGTAATCGTCTCACACGAATTGGTCACACGACCTCTGTTCTTTTGATCGTGCGACGTTCATCTCCCTAGGGAAGGTTTAGATCCACCTTCTTGTGGTCGTTCTATTTGAAGAACAGTGTAGGCAGACGAGGACACATTAGATGGTTACATCGTTAGCAACTTCTGAGAATGAATTATGGAAGGGTCTGGTTATACCACCCAGCATGGGAATATCGTATGCTTATGCATTTCATGTCGTCTTTCGCAGTCAACAAGCCGATTTGCAACATTTTACGAGAACACTAGAACAGTGGTTATATACAGTCCCATACATTCCCTACATATATCAACATTCCAACCTTGCATTAGAAGTTGATAATAAAGTATAATAGGAAGCATGTACTTTCCAGGAGTCGATAGTAAAGATATCACTTTCGATGATCCTGACTGCTGGTGTATTAGGAACCAGCAGGAATTATACGATGCAATCGAAGGCGACTGTGAAAAATTGGTGAGAGTCCTTTTAGATACTCCTTTGATAAGATTATGAAATTATTCCAGAGAAATGAGGCATCTGTAGCCGTTGAAACAATAGAATTTACCTCGGCTCTTTTTGATACCTAAATGATATCCCAGTTTCGGACTGAGGCTCCCGACCAACGTGTTTATTAAAATGTACAACTATTCTGACCTGATAATTGAGGGTTTTCCACAAAAGGATAGTTACTATAATGTGTATCTCAATGAGCTTGAAATTAACGTGTTAATCAAAAAGTCGCAATTTGCAGCCAGCTTTCCAAGCTTCTTGTGTCAGGATATTGGAATAAATGCCAAGCCACCCAATACATATATTTGAATATTTAGGAGAAGAAAACCAACGGATGAATGGGATTATGATAAAGTGTATGAAGTCATCAAGCAAAGACTAAAGGAGCTTCATCTGTTGGGAATTGCACATAATGATGTCAGGCTTGGAAATATTCATGTTTCCATATCTGGTAAAATATCCTTAATTGACTTTGGGCTATCTGTCTGCCCAAGTAGCGAAGATTTTAAGCAGGATGATTTTATAGCCTTGGACCATATATTTAGAACGACCGCCCAGGAAAATACTTCAAACTACTCAAAACGATGAAGATGATCAAATTCTTTCTATGCATGGCACTAACGCCAATAACTCTGGAAGTCAATGCAATGGTTATAACAACTCTTATGACGAAATGGCCTTCGACAGGATGAGCGAACAGTCTCAAGAAACAGAATGGACAAAAGAAGATATTACATCTAAAAGATGACTTGCATAATGAAGCTAGCTGGCTAGTTATTTTTGCTTATATATGGCGAGTAACATATTTTCATAAAGTAGTACATCATTGTCCATAGCTACTGATTATCGACAAAGCTATATGGTAATAGTCCATTGCATTATACTACAACTAACCAATATCGATAAATTGGCACAACCTTGATGAGACATCAGTGCATGTACTACGTGCCTGCTATATAGCGTATACATAGAGAACAACACCTGCGCCGCGCACAGATGAGCTCATGCATGAGGATCTTAGAGCTTAGCTTTGAGCGTACGTTCAAACGTCTTGTCGATAATGTCTGTCATATAGAGTAAGTTGGTATCGTTCAAAACTTCCTCGGTTGGGTTATTGAGCAACGAGTCAAGAAGACGGAGAATAAACCGCAAGTCCTTCTGTTTCTGCGTCACCACAAACGCCCTAGTTTTAGCCTTGTTCTTGAAGATGCGGATGAGCTGGAGATTGTCGAGATAGAAGAGACATGACAACAAGTACTGTTTATTGGAGGATTCAATGTGTTTTTGTTGAAATTTCGATGACTGGATGATCCGCAAGAGCGATTTGGTGGTGGGGAAATCTTTGCTGATAAGATCGTCATTGATCAATTGCTCGTCGGTAATATGAGTCAGCTTCTTTTGAAACTGGTTATCAATGATGTTGATGGTGTTAATACATATCATATACGATTCGATAAAAGGCTTGACCACTTCGGCAAAAATGTCCATATGTTTGTGGTCCACGATTTCGTAGTGATTTGAGGTGCGATTGATCGTCCCACATTGCACTAATTCGTTCAAGATATTGGATAAGTCGTTGGACTTGTTGTAGTCGTAGTCGAATAAGAACTCATTTTTCAAAAACCCAGTGAAGATGTAATAAAGCGACCGTATATAAGCATCAGTCGCAATACTTGGATTGGCTTGACTGAGCAGTGTAATTATAAAGCACACTAAGCTCTTGTGAATAACAAGGTGAATCGTGAGATTCTTGTAGAACAATAACTCAACTGCATTTTCAATTTTGATAGTATTCTTGTTAAAGTTCACTTTGATGAAACGGAAGAATTGGGGAACTTGATTCTTAATCATAGTGGCGAGTTCATCATCGGAGCTCTTGAGTAAACCCTCTAATAATTTCACATTCGTATTGATGTGGTCAAGTTCTTCCTGTCTTTTCAATACCTCGATAATCAATCTCATAGCAGAAACTAAGTCATTGATCAGAAACTCAGTAGTTCCATGGAAATAATAATACGCTTGGAGAGCTGTACCTATAATTGCTATCTCAGGTAAATACGCAACCCGGTTGATTTCATGTAAAATTTTGAATCCTAATTTCTTCAAATTAACGGGTGAGTCGGGAATTTCGACCATAGACTCGACTAAATGAGCTTCTTCATCTTTGTCTCCCTCGATGAAACTGGATAAAGTGAATGAATCGCCCAATTTAACAAATATTTTCCCGTTCAACTTTCTGTTGGAGTTGTCGTAATTTCCCTCCCTATGCTTTTTCGTACTAGGGAAGTTTTTGAAACCATTTTCTGGGTTCGAAAATAAAGTGCTCACACCATTCTTAAGAATGTTTGTCATACTTTCCTGCTTCTTGTCACTACCAAGCAACTCGTCTAAGTATCCATCTGCCTCATAAATCCTTTCATATGTAATAGAAATTGGCTGCAAAAGCATATCAAAATTTTCATTTTTTTCCACTTCTCTCTGAGTTAAGTATATGCTGCATAGATACTTCAAGATACCGTATTTTGGCAATAATAACTTCCCATCTCTGGATCTTGTACCTTCTATAAACACCTCAAAATTTATCTTGTTCAACAATATGAATTCTATCAAATTTGTCAAATTTCTTTCCGTGTACAATTCATTATTGAAGGATCTCTTGATAAAAATAGCCCCCAAGTTTCTCAAAAACGTCCCGAAGATAGCCACATTCAAATTTTCGCCAGCAATCACAGTAGGTGTAGAGAACTGAAATCTAACGCATACCAAATGAAGAATAATGTAATCGATATGTGATTGATGGTTGGGGAAAAAAATGATAGACATAGGATCCTTTAAGTATTTCGCATATAACTCACTCATTTGCGTCTTGTTACACCAGATCCCCTTGGGAAACATCTTACGCATGATAGACATAATTGTGACATAGCAGACTCTAAGGAAATTATGAGACTTGAAACTAGGCATCGTCTTTGAGTTTTCCAACTGGTAATATTTGATCATGAATTCCTTAACTTCTTTAAACCTAATGGGAAGATCTTTGGCCTTGATAAGATTCAATTTTAACTCTTGGTCTATCAATGAATATACCAACTCGTTCAACTTTGGATCTTTCGTAGTTAACATCTCGTTCATGTAGTCGTTCATCTTCTTGTTGAACTGGGGAGTATATTTATTGATCGAATAATGATATTCATTGTTCTTGTAAATGTCATCGAATTTGGTCCCTGTGAAGAAGTGAAAGAAGTTATTTAGGAATCCGAAACTCTTGCTTAGTTTCTCATTACCTTCCAATTCCACATACGTATCTTTGTCGGTAGGTAACGGAAATGTCAAGGGGATGGTGGGGTTTTCTAAGGCCCCGTCAAGAATGTTGACATCGAAGTCTGAGTTGGAAATATCTAGCATGTCAATCTAATAAATAGCAATTCTTCACTGTGTGAGCCAAAGAATGGGTTTCCCTGTTATATAGTAAATGAAAGGAAGCTCTAATTAAATATAATATTCAATGATCTTGGTTGTTTATTGTTCTAATTTTACCCAACATTGAATTTTGCGCAAGTAATATTTCACAATGTCCCCCGCGAATCTTCTCTTTCATGTGTTTTATCGTTTCGCCTGCAACCAGTGCTTATCTACAGCAACTATTATGATTTCATGTTCTTTTTTTACCTCATCGGGGTATGTCATTTGAAGTACTCGAGCCAAGGCTGTCAGGCAGCATATGTTGCGCCAAAAATGGAACTTTGCACTATTTGATTTCTTCTTCCTGAACTATTGCACCATACGCACCTGGAATTCCCAGCTTTCCCCGTTCTATCCATAAACTGATCCCTAGTGGCCCTTAAATGGCCTATGCTCGTAACTACATCGTGCATATTTACAAGCGACCCTCAGTCATTTTGTGTGTTACCATTTTGTTCGCCCTATGTTCGCTGGCCTTTCCCTTGCGTTGGCCCATCCCACATTATCACTAACGACTGAACACTACAACCCCCTGAAGCTCAGATCGTTACCTATTAAATGAATATTTTGTCACATATGCCACTCGAAAATCCACAGCCATATGTCTAATCAAACCCTTCCAATATTCCCGCTCACCTTTGTCTAGATATAATTAGCCACTACAGAACTTCAACTCAATCCAACCATAAGTATCTACTATAAATATCTACCATACACATTTACCATAGACATCTTCCATATAAATCTAATATTCCTATTTCTGCCAATACCCCGTATCTCATCCTACCAATTGCTGAGCCAATTTAAAGTTCGATACGACTGCTTCCATGCTTATCTAAAGCCTAATACGTGCGCAATAATCTTCCACGACAATGTCTTATTCTGTGACAAAATGTCGTAGACCTGTCAACGGCCACATCTCGTAATTAGTCGCTAAAGGTCGCTAATTGGTTCGCGCTAATGCGGCTCCAGGGGATCCGTTTGTTCGGGTCACATACATCGGACACAAAAGCCGCCATACAATAGCCAAAAATGTAACGTTACATTGTCAGTAATACCCAACAGTAAAAAAGTAGGCGGTGGAGTAAAGTCGGAGTACGCGACGTATTACAGGTTACGCACAATTACCGATGATCACCCGATGGTTCCAGCCGAGTACTTTACAGGTTACACCAAAAAGGTTAGACGGTCCTGACCAAAAAATACAACAAATACCCTATTATGAAGCAGAAATATAACGATTAGGATTCATTTAGTTCATTTGTAGAGAAAATTGATAAACGAGACTTCATTAGAAACGGATATAGTCAGATCGTTTAGAAGGATAAATTAGAAGGTATTAGGAAGATATCGGCCAGGACATAAATAGAGAAAAAATATAGCGAAGAATCGGATATTTGATGGGCATCCAGCACACATTGATTCGCCCATGCTAGAGATAAAAAGCGTTGATTACACCAGATATAAGACATCAGGATCATGATATTAGTGAATCAAGCTATGAGAGGAAATAAAGATAAAGATCTCGAAGCCTCTGTAGGACAACAGAGTCCTCGAGGAGGCGATAAAAAGGGGACCAAATTCAATTTTGGGGGTTTTTTGAAGAAAATCCCGCTACCGGTGAGTAAGAGGCCTAGCGAAGAAGTGAAGGAAGAGGAAGAGGGACAGGCTGATCCGGAAGAGATTTCGTTGTCGCCTACGGCCAAAAGCAGTCCATCGGACGCGATAGGCGTGGGAACTAGTGGGGGCAATATAACAGAGGGAAACAGTAGCTATACTCACGAAATAATTCCAGTGGGAGACCCCAGCAGGAATCAGCTGAGATATGCCACCTTCACGGCTAAGTG